AGTATATTCTCCCATACTGTAGGATGGCTTTTTGTTCTGTTGATGGTGTCCTATTGGGGCTTTTTGAATCAGTGAATTGATGTGTTTCGTCAGTTCTGGAATTTGCTCAGCTCTTATCTCAAATACTGCCTCTGCCTAGTTCTTTCATCTTCTGGGACTTTGGGTCAGTATAGTCTTCTCACTTTGTCCTTTCTTTCTAATGTCTCTGGCATTTTCCATCATTTCGCTCCCTGTGTTGCCTTCGGGATTTTTTTTTTTTTTACCTATATTCCATTTTCCTTATTGTCCTAGATTGTGTTTGAGCTGCTGTTAAGCCTGAGTTCTTAATTTTAGCCATTTTATTTTCCAGTTAAGAAGCTCTTTTTTGTTCCTTTTCAGTTTTGCTGTCCCTTCAAATTTCTTTCTCCTTGCAGATCGTCCCAGGCTTGTCTTTTATCTTTTCAAACAGGGTAACAAGCACACTTATGGTATGGGTCCAGTAATCCTGGTATCAGAAGCAAGCACAGCACACTTTTGTGGTATGGATTTGGCAATCTTGGCATCGGAAGCAAGTGTATCAGTTGGTGTCCAATCAGAAACACAGAAACCATTTAGTTGTTTCAAGCAGAGAGATTGAGTGAAGCATGTAATTGCAAAGGTGATAGAAGGGCTGGCAGGAAGGAGGGTGTGTTACCTGGCTGCTCCTGGGCTAGCATGTAGCTGCCAGAAGCCTGGCCGCTGCCGCCTTGGCTGCCTGCAGCTGCAGTCTGTGCGGTTGCCTGCCTCTGCCCTTTCCCACTCCCTTTTAATTTCCCAACAGTGCTTCCCTCTGGAGCAACCTGACAAGACTCCAGCTGGTAGGAAGTCTTGTATGTGGTGTAGTTTCAGGCCTCTTACTCTGCACCAGAGACAGGAAAGAGATGAATACCAACAGACAGAATTTGGAACTGGGTAGATGCCATCTGTTGTTTTGCTGTTGGTTCTTGCTCCTAGAGTCGTGTTTGTCTTTGTGTGCCTGGTTAGTTTTGGGTACTGGCATTTCAGAATTATTTGGAATAATCTGAAGCCTTGAGATGTTTCCTTTGCTTGTCAGATCCCTGGGAATGCCTCCTGTCTGGGATAGTGGATTACAAAAACAGTTGAACACTAGAACTTTCTTAAGGTTCAGCCTGGTAGAAAGTATGATCGCAAATTATAGTTTTTACTTTTGTGATAGTTTGTTATTAGTCCAGTTCATGCATTGATGCAGCAGATACTTGAGCTCCTCTGTGCTTCAGTAGATGCTAGGCCAGTCAGGGAGAAACAGCAGATTTGGGAGATTGTTGTATACGTGTGGGGGATACAGATTTAAGGCATGTATACTGTTGCAATGTGACAAGCTCTGTGGATAATAGAGCAGAAAGGGAAATTGGGAGTGCAATTGGAAGGATTGCAGTTGAAAGGATTGCAGTTGTCAGGCTGTCCCTGAGGGGCATTTGTAAAGTGAGTCAGGAGGACATCAGAAGAGGAGAGCCAGTACAAAGGCCCTGTACAAGGCAGGGAAGGAGGCTGGCGTGGCTGGGGCATAGGGGCAGAAGGGCAGAGGGTGGGAAGAAGAGGGAAGAGCAGATTGCACAGGGCCTTGTAGGACCTTTTAAGGACCTGGTTGACAGTAAGCCTATGAAGGCTCAAAGGAATGACACCATTTGAGAAGAGAATCACTCTGGCTGCTGTGTTGATTGAAATGTATTTTCATTCTAATTAAGCAAAATTAATTGGGATTGCAGTAGCAAGTGGTCATTGAGTTGTTCACATGTTAAGTTTATTAAGGAATCATTTACCACCTACTTTGACATAGTATTTCCTGTGTGGATCATCAAGTGAATAAAATAGTGGTTGCCTTCTAGGACCTGGAACAAATAAAGTTTTATGTGTTATATGTGACAGGTTATTTATGAGTACCATTCTACAATCTTATGTCACATTTTGATGACCTGTATTTAATGGTCAACCGAAGCGGTTAGCATTGAGATTTAAAATTATAACCTATGTCACTTTTCAGTATAATTAACTAATGCTTCTGAGTCATAGCTGTCATTCCATTTCTGTTTTCCTTCTTACCAAGAGAGCTTTAAATGCTTACATATATATGATATCAGAATTATTTTTTTTGGTATCATTAATCTACAATTACATGAGGAACATTATGTTTATTAGGTTCCCCCCTT